GGCCTTTCCAAGAGGCATTACCCAACTGTACACAGAATGAAAGTTCCTAGCCTGACACAATGGCAGGAGCGGCAGAGGCGTCCTCAGACTGGCACTAACTAATCTGGTCTAAGCTCCAAGTATGACCTACACTGAAAGTGGCAGGATCTGGGGAGGCACAGCGAGGAACTTTCTCCCACTTATTCTAAATCCTGGAAGCCTTACAGTCCTGCCTATCATGAACAGGTATTTTTGATCAGATCTGGGAGAAATCAAAGGCTGTGTTTGTGAAAGGCTAACAAATAAACAAAGGTCTATGCTCCCTCTGCTGGCTCTCTCTAGAAATATGGAAATGGAAAGGAGGCATCAGTGGTGTCGACATCTTCAGCAAACACAAGCCAGTCTGTGTACACCAAGAACCACTCATTTAGCTTGATTTTAGAGATTCTCTGGAAAAAATCCATCTTTATCAACTTCTGACCAAGGGGCACTTGGAAATTTTCAAAATTATACAATCAAATGAGACATACCTACAGTCCTTGGCTACCAAAGTGCTAACTATGACTGTAATAGTGATTTAGGATTCATTTATCAACAGACACTAGTGGATTCCTCCAAGATCTTTAAGGGTCAGATACCATCTTTAAAGCGGTTCTGGAAAGAAAATCTAAAGTCCAAACTAAAGGGTTTTCTTCCCCCTCCTCTTGTTATGTAAGAGCAGCTTCTAAAAAGTAAAGATTTACACTATTTATATCCTTTCCGATAATGTCAAACATTAGACTTGATTTTCCAAATCATTAGCATGCAGAAGAATGACCTCATGGTGAACAGATGCACTTGGCTGTGAGCTGCAGTGATTACATCAGTCCTCCCAGCAGTCAAGGGCGCCCATTCCAGTTAACCCTTGAAAGGCTGCTCTGCTGGTCCCCCTTCCTTGGTAACATGATTGAAAATGCAGACTTTGTTTCCCAGTATGTACGTATGTGAAATGTACATATATAAATACATACATCTATAGATATGTAAAAGACATATATGTTAATTGCAAATAATATTTTAACACTGGGTACCTTTTAATTTATCTATTACTAGTTGATAAAGAAAGGAATCAATAAAGATAAGGCAACCATAGGGCTAGGTAAAAACACAGTGCAAACATCTATTCCACACCAGGCATTGTCAATACTACTAATGGATAAAGTAGGTAGACAATGGTTTTTTTTTATTTTTTTGAGACAGAGCCTCAAGCTGTACCCCTGGGTAGAGTGCTATGGCTTCAGGGCTCACAGCAACCTCCAACTTCTGGGCTCAAGCGAGTCTCCTGCCTCAGCCTCCCTAGTAGCTGGGACCACAGGCGACCGCCTCAACGCCCAGCTATTTTTTGGTTGCAGCCATTATTGTTGTTTGGCGGGCCCGGGCTGGATTCGAACCCGCCACGTTAGGTGTATGTGGCTGGTGCCTTAGCCGCTTGAGCCACAGGCGCTGAGCAGGTAGACAATGTTTTAAAAAAAAATTTTCAGATGAGGAAAGTGGGTTTGTCTGTTCTTCTAAGCCCTCTGAGAAGTGTCGAGCACTGAGGTGCTGGCACTGCAGCCTCCTCAGCTGGCATCTCGAGGCGGCTCTGCAGGGGATGGCACAAGTCCCAGGCAGGGGGGTCTGAGGCAGGGACCTGGTCTAACAGGGGCATCTCGGGGCACAGGCCACCCTGCTTAGCACATCTCTCACTTTCACCTCAGACTTCAGGATGATGCTGGGCCCTGTGGGGACTGTAGCCTGCTTTCCAGCGCAATGACCAGTGCTCGGGGGACTTTCCCTCTTCAATCATGATAAGGCTCCTTGTTGTGAGAGTACAAAGAAAACCTGGGAGCCCCCAACTCCTCAGATTGTGCATATGCATGGGAGCAGAAGCCCAAGGCCCTACTTTGATGACAATGATGGCCAGAGATGTTCTGATTGGGCCCTAAGTGTACTGTGTGAGCTTAAGCCACCCAGGGTCAATTTTTCCAGTTGGCTTGTTGCTTGGAAAAGCAGACTTCCTCTCAATTTCATAGTTTAAGCAGGCCAGCTCTTCTGGGTCTGGTTGTACTTGCCCCAAGAAAATAAAAAACACTGTGAATACATGTACAAATAGTCACAGATAAGGATCGGAATTCCTCAAAAACAAAACGGGTATCTAAATGAGGAAAGGACCAGTTCTGATAAAGTGCCTGCATATAGTGTCAAAATGCTCTACCCTCCTTTAGCCCCCATACCTCAGTTCATCTGTGTTTCCAGTTCCTTCTCAGTCACTGTTCTACGCAGATATGCAAAGTGTTCAAATAGAACCTTATGCCCAGACTTAAAAATCACTCAAAGATAGGTGTGATATGTATATAAAAACACGTATCATTCAACACTGAATACCCTAAACCATGAGTGCTATGAAATGTAAGTTGACAGTTAAGAATAATTTGAAAAGGCTCGGCGCCTATAGCTCAACCGGCTAAGGCGCCAGCCACGTACACCTAAGGTGGCGGGTTCGAATCCCCAGCCCGGACCCGCC